CGTTCTCTCTTCTCTCTATGTGTGGTTCGATAGAGATATATGTATTCGTATGTCCTTGATGTACGTGGACTACTTTATTTCGTACCGTAAAATTAACAACTGTTTTTATAACGATATAAAAGAATACATATATCTCTATCGAACCACACATAGAGAGAAGAGAGAACGTTAACAACAATCTTGCTTCGTTTATTCGACTTTGCAGTACATATGTCGACCCACTCAAAAGAGGATTATATTCTCAAAACACTGTCACATTTTTCGATGTTTGAAAACTAGATGGATGTGAGTGCTCGCGAAGAGAAGCAACGAATTCCTATTGCCACACCCATACCCCTATAGGCACATCCCACAACCCCCATGGATGCCGACACCTCCACTCACATATACCCTCAAGTAAACAATGTGAATTTATTCAGAATGTCTTTTCTTAATAAAAAATTGATCCCATATAGGTATCATACGTTTCTCGGCAACTATTTGGCAAAGGATCTGGCATACGTTGCGTAAATGTTTTCCTAAACGTTTGCAGTGCTTGCCCAGTCCGTTTCACTTCAACGACAGCCGTTATTGGATTACTTGGAGTGGCAAATGGACTAAACACATACTGCTGAAAACAGACTAGATAAATTCCACGGTCGGGTTCTGTATAATTCCAATAAACATTTTCTGGACCCATGCCTGTTTTATCATCTATATCTAACTGACCATAATTCGTTTGGGCATTGGGACCGGATTTACTGTACATTATTGTATTTCCATTGGGTATTGTGATAACAATATCCCCATCACCTACTCTATTCCAAGTCAATGTAAACGATAATACTCCCCGATCGATACATTTACCAGACACACATTGTTGATAAGATTGACACATCGGAGAACATATTTTACCTATATACAAAGAAAAACAAAGTAGTAAAAAAAGATTTCCAGTTCTGATCTAATTAAAAAAAAACTTCCAATATTATAAGCGACTTTCGTTGCACCACTTTTTGAGATCCGGATGGTAATCTATATCCAAAAGGTCTTTCCTATTGAGATGCTTCCTGTTATTTAGGTCTAAACACTGTCTGGACTTTTCTTATTTTTTGTACTCGTCTAGATCAAAACGTTCAAGACCCAAATAAGTAAGGATCCTAGCTGAAAAGATAAATTCAGACTTATTCAGATAATCTAATTATATTGATCCTCATTTATTTTCAGTATCCTTTAATTTACATATAACCATGTACTTCATGTATATCGATAAGGTGCGGAAAAAAATCTAGAATTTAATATAAATCATTTGTTTGATTTAATTTCCTTGGATAACTTTAGCTTTTACTTTTTATTTCTATTTGCGAAAATGCATGCTTAGTTGATATGAAACATATAAGAAACAGCAAAGGATATGTATACCAGGAAAGACAAGCTTTCAGCGTCCTTGTTACGTCATTGAAACGTGAAATTCGATGAGATTGCTTCATTTGTGATCAAGAACATTTTGAAAAACATCTGTTGCAGTCTTTGAGAATATTATTTTGTCATAGACATTAGGGCGAAGAAGATGAACCAACTATCTTTTAGCATTAAGACTCATAATAATTGTGTTTCACAAAAGCACGATCGACTTATCTATCGTAGCCTATGAACGTGTTCAAATGAGGTCTGACACGATGCATGATGCTCTAGTGTTGTCGTCTCACAAGAGAACATCTTCAAGTGTATGCACGCAGAGAGAGTTTAAAACCATTGTATCATTTGATGTCCTCCATGAATATCTCGAATATAAATAACTTACGTGCTCTTGTTTACATTTGAAAAAAATATAAGACCCAACTTTTTCGGTTTTAGATCTATTCTGCTAGTAGATGTATCGGTAAGGTTTCTTGCCTTTTTGTGAAATTTGTTAAAAGGACCATTCCATTTTCAGAAAGAGCAGTAAAAGAAATCAACCAATTTAGCAATTCTAAATAGAAGTGCCCTATATATTTTGTTCTTACATTAAAATCTAACATTTATTATCGGAAATTACTACGAATCAAATTATGACCAAGAACTTCTTGCATGAGGGAAAATATAAAGTAGATAAGAGGAGACCATGTGGATGCTTGTAGATTAAAGAAATGAATTTCCCAATACGGCAGACAAATATATAGAGAAATATTTTGTTTAGTTTTCTCAGTTATTGTATGACTGAGAAAATAAGTTGTGTAAAGAGTAGAGAAAAA